TATCAACTGAAGGAGAATTAAAATTTCACTTTAATTTCGCCTTACTTGTGGGAATAAAGTGATATGAATTGCAGGTGCATTTGCTAAGTTTGGGGGGGGGCAGTTCCACATTGGCTTATAATAAGGAGATGCCTCCTGAGTAGCCCCCCTTCAGTGCTTTTAACATTTTGTTGAAGCTTGATTGAAAAACATGACTAGAAATTATTCAGATGGGAAAAAGAAGAAAATAAACATTTTGCTTGGGTAAAATGTAGCTTTACTATGATATATTTTAAAACAGAGTTTTTATTCAGCTACATGGAATGCAATTCACCCATTTAAAGTGTGCAAGTCAGTGGTTCTTAGGATATTCCCCCCAAATGGTGTAAATATCACAATTTACTTTTAGGCAGTTTTGATTGCTACCTGTTATTGGTCACTTTTTTCTACTATAATGGGGAACCTGAAAAAGAAAAGGGGCTCATTTAGCTCACAATCAAGGGCAGCTTTGGCAAGGAGGAGGAGGGTACCACAAATGATGGGAAACTGTGTAAGAGCAAGAGAGTAAATCACAAGACAGAAACCAGGAGCAGGGAAGCTGTGCTCCTTTTATGACAGTCTATCCTGAGAACAAAATCAAGGGTCCCTGAGAATAATCTCATCTCTTCTGTGTGGCTGCCTCCCAGGACCTCAGGCCTCCTACCTCATGTCCATCTCCAAACACCACTCTGAGAAACAAACTCCTTGGACAGGAATACATGGAGAACAAACCACATCCAGACCATGCTCCCCTAACCCTAACCCGCTCCCCATTAGTAGTCTTTCCCTACTCCAACGGTCTCCAGGCCTAGGCACCCATCTATCACTATAACTTTGTCTGTTCTGGCTTTTTCATGCAAATTTGGTCGTGTAATAGGTTGTGTTGCATCCATGTTCATTGCTGTCCTCTTTGTAATAACCAAGTGGTAGAAACAGTCAGGGTGCCCTACAATAGATGTGGTACCACAAATGTGGTATCTATACACAGTGGAATTTTACACAGCCATTAGAATCATATTTGTGTCATTTGCAGAGAAATGAATGGACCTAGAACAAACCATGGTGAGGTAAACCAAGCTTAGAGAGACAGAGCATGTTTTCTCTCATATGCAAAAGCTAGATCTAAATATACTGGGATATGATAAACTATACAGGTATCTAGGCATTCATATACAATGAGACCAAAAGAGAAGAATAAAAAGGCACAGGCACACATTCATCTGATCATACAAAATAGCACTTATCAAAATGAACTCCAGGAAATGGAAATGAGGGTTTCTTTCTTATTGCTATTTTTGTTTCCTTTGTGTCTTGTGTGTATGTCTTTGGGAGTGTAAGGGGAGGCACAGAAGTGGAGAGACAAAGAGTAAACAAATACAGCAATGGTACTCACTGGACACTACGTTGAAAATGAGCTATATAATTTGTAGGTGGGATGAGAGGGGAAAAACTGGGAAAGCTGCAGGGAAGGAATGACATTGTTCGGGAGGAAATGTACTCTGCCTGACTTATGCAACCCCTCTGTTTTTAACATTTTCAAATAAAAATAATAATAATAAAAACACATTCGTGCTGATGTCTTTCACTTAGCATTTGGTTTTCCCTTGCATCTGTGCATCCTCCTTGACGACTGTTTTATGCATGAAATTATTAAGAATATTATATAAAGTGATGCTTGTCGAAATGAAGCCCAAGAAATGGAAGCAAGAGGTTGTTGTGTTTTTTTTTTTAATTGTTCTATTTGCAGGTCTTTTTTTCCCCCTTTGGTTTATTCCCTGTTGTCACTGATTTTGATTTCTGTATCCTTTGTTTTGCATATACGTTTATCTGATTTGGGAAAGGGAAGGGGAATCACAGAAATGGGACAAAGGGTGAACCAATGCAACAGTGATACTCTCTAGATACTACATTAGAAACGAACTTTACAACTTGTGGGTGAGGGGAGTCAGAGGACAGGGAAGTGGGAGAAAATGAGGGAGAGGGTAACACTCTTCAGAAAGAAATATACTCATTATTTACCTATGTAACGGTAACCCCTCTGTACATCACCTTTATGATAAAAATTTTTAAATATGATATAAAATTAACTTTAGATTATGAATTTTGTACTTAGACTTATTCCTAGCCACAAGAAATTGGAATGTGTATGTACAAGTATCCCACAGTTCCAAATATTGAACTATGTTCGGTCCTATGCATTTTATATAAGATACCCTAACTATAATCAGACCAAGTTCCACTATTAAGCCCCATGAGTCCTGGGTGGCCAGACTGGAACAGGTTCAGCCGCTGGTCCACAGCAGAGTCAGGCTCCCTACAAACAAAGAAAGGGAAAGGAGAGGGGTGGATCCCCACTGGAAACTGTTTGTTATTTTAAGAAGGCAGGGCTCTTGATGAGTCAGCCACCAACTTCAGGGGTGTGTGCTGGTGACTCAATAAGGAACAGTGTGAAAAACACAGCAGTAGTTATACACAGCACCACACAGCAACAGTCTGCGGGTAGCAATGCAGGACTGGAGGTATTTTCCTTAGGTTGTCATTGGGAGCTTGGGTTGGGGTCAAAGAAACCCAAATGTTGCTGTTCATGATCAAAAGTCCCTCAAAAGGGGTGGAGCCTGCTCACTGGGAAGCCCAGCGTATCAGAGCATGTACATGGGTGTGGCAAAAATCTCCCAGAAGCTAAAAGGTTCTACACTACAGAGGGAGCCTGCAGACTTCCTGAGATGCAGAGGAAAAGGTCATGTGGATGAATGAGACACACTAAAGGAAAGAAGAATCAGCAAAGTACATGATGCCAGTGACCTGTGGGATGAAGGCTAAGAGGCCTTTGGAAATGATGTCAAGAGCATTTTAACGGCAGAAATGCCCAGTACTGGGACTGAAGATATGAGCTTCTTGAAATCCCCAGTTGAGCCCAATGACCTAATCTACCCTTTGGTTGAGGGATGTTTTCAATTGCTTCTGCTGTGGAAATCAAGGATGAAATATTGGGTTTTAGAGCACTAAGTGTGTTGAGAAGCAAGTTATAACCATGAGAACACTTCCCCTTTGGCAATGCATAGATGTATGAGGAAGAGACTTTCACAAGGGAAACTGGGTTATAGATTAAGCAGGTGACTGAAGACATTGGCAGTAGGTATTTAAAGCCCCAATGTCCAGGTTCCTCCTAGACCAATAAAATCCATTGCTCAGAGGGAAATAGGTAAATGGAGCTTGCAATGTGGTCCCCAGTGCAGGTGACTGCATCATACACAGCTTGGTATTGAGGGAGCTGATCACAGTTCTGACTTTACAGTGACCACCGAGTTAAACTGACTTGTCCACATTTGCCTCTGGTGACATGATTCTGTACTGCCCTTTTGGGAATCGCAAGGCCAAGCGCAAAGAAGCAGACATGAATTAAAGAGAATTTGGTCCTTGTTGAGCTATCGTTGCACTCGAGAGTTCACAGCTTTCTGTGTGTTAATGGTGAGTTCAGATGTTTGTACAGGGTAGACTGAGAAGGAACAGGGAGCCTACTTTTACCCTCCTAATGCCAGAAAGGGATTTAGACTTTTCTCTCTTGGTGTTTGAATGAAGCTGTTGTCTTGTTCCAGGTCAGTTCTACTACTAATAATTGAGAGCTCCTTTCTCACCTGACAACAGCAGCGGGCTATCCCATCCCAGACCTCTGAGTCTGCACATAATGAGCTGCGACAGCAGCAGCCAGAAAAACAGGGACATCACTGACTTGCCCTCCTCAGTGATTGGTGTCAGACACATCCAGTGCAACAAATACTGTGCCTAGGGATAGAAAACATCCAGGGGAAATTTCACAGGTCTAGAAGATGTTCGGTTACTCTAGAGACACAATAAAAACATGCACATGCCTAAATGAAAAGCTGGGGTTATTAAATGTCATCTCTGATATGGAGATATAAATGAATAATAATCTGGGTTCCAAACACTACTTCTGCCTTTTGATCTTTTTGATCTTTAAAAAAATATTAAGAATAAATATATACAGAAAATGAAATGTAAGAGATAACAGAGAAGAAAGTGTCTTTACCTAAAACCCATGAACACATTATGTTTAAAAACGTCAAACTGGCAACAATGACCAACAAAGAAAACCAGCTGGGTTTTGGATTGAGACACAGAATGTAGTCTATGAAGCTACCGGTATTTCCTCTGAGATTAAGGTGGCTTTTTGAGGCTACCTTTGGAAATCTCACACCAATAACTAAAAACATTGCTGTGAAAAATTTCAAGACTTATAAAGTCTTATGAAAACACATGAAGTTTGAAGGGATGACACTGTAATCATGAACTGACATGTTGAATTGAAACCCCTTGGTACAACTACTTAAAGATAGTAATAACCAAAAAGTAGTCTGTGAGCCTTGGGGCCAAATTAATATAGATTCATATGATAAACTCCAATGTATCACAATGTGGTATGCAGAATAAAGCACATTTAATCTTCATCATCCCAAAAAGGAAGTTATCACTATGCTCAGGAGCTAGTCCAGGTCACAGACACACACACACACCAGATACTGATTTGTGTAGTACAGTAGTAGAGTCAATCTAACACTCTGTGGTTTCCAAAATAAACTGATTGCACTGCTCTAGGTTGGAACTTTGGGCAAGTCCAACTGTATAGTTCTACTCAGGGGCTCTATGTGCCTGGCTGCAGTCACCTGGGAGTTCCAGTTGGGCCTGCATCCATGGTGGCTCACTCACCTGGCTGGCAGCTTTTGCAGAGTTCAGGTGTTACCTGAAGCACCTCTGGGTGGCCTTTCAGGCATAGTAGCTTTCAGGATGCTAAGACCCCTTGTATGTAGCCTGGCTTTCCCCAGGATGAGGGCCCAGTGAGAACTCAGCAGTCGTTAAAAGGCTGTTCCTGACATCTATCTTATAGGCTTCCTCTCCATAAACTTCTGGCTCCCTATCTACTCAAATCCCTCCTCCCTCACATCCCAAGACAGCAACAGCAGAGCTGATTGTACTGTTTTATTGAGTAGGGAAGAAGCATCTGTGGGCAACATGCAGTAGTTAAAAAAAAAAAATACAAGGAGAAGGAAGAAAGGGGGAGAGATGCATAGGTGTTCAAGCTTCCTGGAGCAGCCTCCTCTACTAGTCTGCTAGTGCTAGCACACCAGATGTCCTCCTGGGTGCGCTATCATCTAAGAGTTAGCGCGGGAAGGGGAGGAGTGTGATGAAGGGCGTTCAGCATGGCCCAGCCTCCCTCAGCCCCTTAGGCATTCTCACAACTGGATTTTAACATGGAGACTTTGCCCGTCCAGGGGACACTGTAGATCTGGAAGGAGCAGAGTTCTTTCTGCAAAAGGGAAAAGAGAAAAGGGCAATGGGTTACCGTTGAAAGGGAAGCTGCCCAACCATAAGACGCCAGAGTGGACAGTGGAGCTGCAGAATGGTGGAGGTGAGACTTGAATATCACAGTCCCTGCAGAAGCCCAGGATGCTCTGCTCAACACTTCAGTGTCTGCTCCTCATGCCTCCATTGCTCCAAATCTACCAGGGGACCTATGTCCTCCTCCTCAGAGGATTCCTTGATGATCTATGGAGCATCTATACAAGGTGGGAACCCTGGAGGGGCAGGCCAAGGGATGAAGGCTCATAGCTGCAAAGTTGACTCCCCTCTAACTCCTGGGCCAATGTAAGTGGGGCTCAGAGGCATGAAGGGGGAGCATGAAAAAGGCCTCTGAAAGGGAGTGGGGATGAGGAGGAGTGACAAAGTGAGTATAGCTGTCCTCTAAGCCACGATGTCACAGAAACTGACCCTGTATAGAAAGAGGCTGGTGTCTGGATGGGGCAGAACTCAAGGGCTTTAGCTACTTTACAGGTAGCTCTGATATGTGTGGCTCTGAGCAGATGCCCCAGGATAGGATTAAACACAACATCTTCTCCCTCCTCCAAGAATCACCTGTGCAGCTACTTTCTCTAGTCTAGCAGGCAACACAATTAAAGCAGAAAGGCTTCCCCAGCATCCTAATTCCTAGCTTAAAGCCACGGAGAAATTCAAACTAATCATACACATGCATAGACTGTTACTCTACACAGGCATACAAGAGCACAAATCTGGATCAGCAGATACTCACTTGCATCCCCACATCTGTTTTATCTGTTACTGAGACATCACATTCCCGTACATATTCACTTCCTCATACACCCACTTGTGTGTACCCCAACTTTTCCACAGGTATCTACACAAATGCACACCAATAACCTGACTGAGATTGGTCCCCTACCCATGTCAGGTACTTACCCTCTTCAGATTGGGCTGCTCATGGAAAGGACAGTCACTCAAGTTGGACTGGGACTTGGTACATGTGGTCCGGCCAATCTCCACATCCAAGTAGTACTTCACTCCAGCCACAAGCTATGGTGGAAAGAATAACATTGGTCAAGTTCACATACACACACCCATGTTACATGGAGCTGACATGTTTGCCTAGGGTTCACGCCTGTATTCCTGAGCTATCAGAACCATTACCCACAAGGCACACAGCTATCACTTCTCTACTTCTGATCCACTCTGGTGAAATGTCTCCTGAAGTTGAGTTAAAGAAGAAGCCGGAAAAACAGAACGCAAAAGCTGGGGACTAACACCCTTTCACTGGATTCAGGGATGGAAGGAACAGCTCAGGAGACAGCCATGAAGGAGGTAAATAAAAAGCTCTGTGTTCTATGCGCCAGTGCTGGTCTGAGCAGAAAGCTTAGGCTCTGGGCCACAACATATGAGTCACTAAATTCTGCTGCCTGTGGCTTAGGAGGCAGAGGCACTATTCCATTCTAGAAAGTTTGTGGTCCGATGATTAAACTTCAGCTAAACTCTAGTGACCAGCATGCAGCCCACACGAGATTCCATTCTCTCCATTGATTCCAGTTTTACTATTCCCTCATTTCCCAGCAGGAAGTGGAGCGCTTAGCGTACAGAGGGGAAACCAATAAGAAAGACCTTCACTCAAACGTCCCCTCCTTCATTGTGACTGTTGGTGGGCAACTCTCTCTCTCTCTCTCTTTCTCTCTCTCTCTCTCTGTGCTAATACTCAAGATCTTGCCCTGTTGCCTGGCTTTTTTGTTTAAGACTGGTGTTGAGCCACACCTCCACATCTGGCTTTTTGCTAACTGGCAATAAAAATCTCACAGATTTGTCTGTCTAGGCTGGCTTCAAATTGTGATCCTCAAGATCTCAGCCTCCTGAGTAGCTATATGTATAGGCTTGAGGCAGGGCTACAATGTAGTTAAAGAGTAGAATCTAACCCTTTACTGGCACAGGGCATCCTAGACTCAACGTATCAGAACTGTTGTGAAGCCCAGAGTGAGGGACAGGGGATAAGGCTCCAGACCTTGCCCTATGCAAAAAAGAATGCCCTTTTGTATCACTTTCCCATCATGAACCCAGTAGCCTGTAACACCCTATGTTCCCTTCCCAAGCGAGTGTCACACCTACAGCGTGCACAGGTTAGCAAGGACCATGGGAAACACATCTCATATTTATGGGGAACAATGGCAGGTAACTGCTGCCACAGAAGAAATGAACTGCCTTCATTCATATGAGTATTAAACAGTAGATGGAAATGAGCTCTGGATACTGGTACTCCAGGCAACATCTATGGCTGAATCACTATGTGCTGCTCTGCAGTGAGACTCAGGCCCTCTGCTCTGAATTCCAGTCCTTCAAGTTCAAGCCTGGGACCCAGCAGCCCTTCATGCTCCCTTGAGACCCTTGTTCCCCTAGCACACTGAGACCTGGCGGAGGCAGGGTCCAGTGTAGTCCTCTACTCAAGGGTCCAGGGCTACTGGCCATTATACATCTACCTCAAGATGGGAGGCCATGGTCCCTCACCCTGAAAAGTACCAGGAAGAGGAAGCAAGACATTCCGAAGAAGGAAATAAAAGGTCAGCTAAGACTGGGCAGCAGTCCACACAGTCATGTATGATAGATGTGGACACATTCTGAGAAATGTGCCATAGGACTTCACAGTGTGGAGGTCACAGGCACACACACACTCAAAGATGACCACAATGTCACTAGGAAATACTATCGTTTTGTGGTATCCCTATTCACGTGCAGCTATCCGGGATGGGGTTCATGAAGTTCACCAGCAACTGGCAGGAAGGACCCACTTCAAAGGCCAGACATGAAAACAGCAGGACATGCAACACAGGGAAGGAGCCTCAGGAGTCTAATACTGACTGTAGCCCACATTTGAGTGCCCACCAGTGGGAAATCCAGTGAGTCTGAATGTGAGGTAATTGTGGCAGTGCTAATTTTTTTTGGTCAGTCGTGGAGCTTGAACTCTGGGCCTGAGTGCTATCCCTCAGCTCTTCAGCTCAAGGCTAGCGCTCTACCACTTGAGCTACAGCACCACTTCCGGTTTTCTGGTGGTTTATTGGAGATAAGAGTGTCACGGATTTTCCTGCCCGGGCTGGCTTTGAACCCCGATCTCAGCCTCCTGAGTAGCTAGGATTACAGGTGTGAGCCACCAGCGCCTGGCAGGCAGTGTTAATTCTTGATTTTCAAAACTGACTCCTGGGTATGCAGACAAGGCTCTTTGGTTTGCAAGAAATGTACATTGAAGCATCTGCTCTCAAAAGCTTAGAGGGGAGCACAAGAATGGAGAGAGGAAGGGTAGGCAAATACAATCATATTATTCAATGTACATTATGTAAGAATGGAACTAGGGAACTTGAGAGTGGATGGGATGGGGAAGGGGGGGATGGAAGAGCTGACATGGATCAAGATCCATTGTACTCATAATCTGACTTGCTGAATTGAATCCCCTTTGTACAACAACTTAAAAATAAAGTTTAGAGAAATAAATGCATGTAAGCCCATAGACCCACATAGACACATATAGGTGTGTGGGGAGAGAGCGGAGGAGGACCAGTAAACATGGGCAGGGCAAGCAATCATCCAGGAAGGATGAGGTGTAGGATCCACAGGGGTGCTGAGACTCTTGGAAGCTGCTCTATGAATCTGCAATCGTGTCAGAACAAGAAGTCAGGGGGAAACGTGCTAAGACCTCATTTCGTAAAGGTATCCTGTGTGTGTGTGTGTGTGTGTGTGTGTGTGTGTGTGTGTGTGTGTGTAGGGGGGGGGCCGTGGTCACCTGGCCAATAGCTGTTACACTGACTTGGGAGTCGTGCTAAGACCTCATTTCGTAAAGGTATCCTGTGTGTGTGTGTGTGTGTGTGTGTGTGTGTGTGTGTGTGTGTGTGTGTGTGTGTGTGTGTGTGTGTGTGTGTGTGTGTGTGTGTGTGTGTGTGTGTGTAGGGGGGGGGCCGTGGTCACCTGGCCAATAGCTGTTACACTGACTTGGGAGTCCCACTAAGGCTAGTGGTAGGGAGTTAAGCTGGGTTCCCCCTAACCTGTCCCCTTGGGGCCTCTGATGCCTGCAGAGAACTGGGAAAAGCAATTAAGGTGCCAGGCCTTCAGATGCAATGCCAGGCTGGGTTTTAGGCCTGGACACAGGCCCACGGAGGGCTGCTGGGGTCTGAAAGAGGGAGATGGAGGACCCCTCCAGTGTGAGAAGCAGAGATGAGTTCCAGCGCCCGCAGGGCTGGAGAGCGGGGACGGGGAACGTCCCACCCCCCTCCCCACCCCGCCCGGGGCAAAGGATCCAGCCAGGTCCGCCCCCCCCCCCCGCCCGCCCCCCTCCCCGCCGGGACACGCACCTGCTTGCGGGCGCGCACCACCTGCACCACGCGGCTGTGGAACGCGTCGTTACTGGCTTTGTTGTACTCGCTGAGCGCGTAGGACAGCGCTTTGCGCACGCCCAGCTCGTTGGCGTCGGCCTCCTCGATGCCCCCGATCTTCACCCGCGGCTGGCTGGCGCTCGCGCCGGCCTCGGGGCTCACGGCCCGGGCCGCGGCCAGGGCGGCCAGCAGGAGCAGCGAGAGGCGCAGGCTCCACGACATGACGGGCAGCGACTCCGCTCGCAGACACCGGGGCGAGGGCTGGAGCTGCCGGGGACCGCGGGCCTCACGCTGGGCGTACCTCCCGGCTTTTATCCCGGATTGGGGCCCGCCCCATCTCACCCGCCCTCGCCAGGCTCCTCCTTTTCCGGCCTCCACCCGCCCCTCTTCTTCCGCCCCTGCTCCTCCCTCCCATCCCGGCCGCACACTTCCAGCCTCCTCCCCCACCCCCCTGCTCCTGCCTGGGCTCCTCCCTCCCCTCCCCACGGTAGGACCCCTCCAGCCTCCAGCCAGTCCTGACTGTCCCCAATCCTACATCCCTCCGCACTAGGACTCCCCCCCCCAGCACTCCTATAGTCCTGGGGGTCACCTCCCCACTCCGGGCACCCGACCTCCCCAGCCCTCTCCTCCCCCATGTCTGACCCCTCCTTCTGAGTTCCATCCAGTCCTGGTTTCTAGAAAAGATGTCACTGCTATTTGCACCCTCGAGAAGCCTGTGATCTCTGAACTCGATTGCTCTGGGGAAAGGGGGAAAGGGCAGTCCATTCTTGGCTTCCTGGATTGTCAGACTTTTGTTCAGTCCTGGGTCAAAGTCTGGGAATCTCAGGAGCAAGGACACCATTTCTGGGGTGTCTGAAAGACCCAGTCTTGGCTGGCTGGCTGCCTGACCGCTTGCCTGCGGTTCCTTTGGAACTTCTTTGCCAAACGGAAGGGAAGTTTGGGGGGAAAAGAAAGAGGCTTCCTTCCCCACCCTTTCCCCTCCAAATTCACCACCACAAGTCACTATTATTCCATAAAAAAAGGTACCTTCTGGGCCAGATTATCTAAAACCTGGAGAATGGGGTACAGTAGTTGAGCCCTGGACTTGATGTAGAAGCAGCCTAATATGTCATTTGAAACCCTGGGTAAATTTTAAATTTTCTAGTAGACACAAAAAGAAACAGGTGAAATAATTTCAATAATGTTTTATTTAACATATATCAAATGCCATTTCAACAAGTAGGAATAATTCTTAGATACTTAGGTACTTAATTCTTGATTAGGTACTTAGGGTACATACAAAAATTAACATTTGTATGTGTGCTAAATCTTCTGAGTTATGTGCATATTTGTGACATTTGGGGCAAATGTCCATAAGTGACTGGCCTCATTTCAAGCATCCCTTGGCCAAGTGTGGTGGTAGCTGTGTACTGCACACCCGGGTTTCAGGGTGTGTGCTGGGGGAGGGATGATCCTTACAATCAGGGAATTCATTATAGGTGATTTGTCAGAAGTGAGAACAAGAGGGAAGGAAGGAGGGGGAGGGGAGAAGGGAAAAGAGTATGAGAAGGAGAGCTCTCAGCATTGGTCAGGAAGTTGTGCCCAGATCAAAACAGCTTAAGGACAGAGGGAACAGTCAATGGAAAGGCCTAGAGCCACAGCTGGGCTTTCTTCCTGTAAGACCAGGAAGCCACTGAAGTAGAAGGTGTTTAATCAGGGAAGAAGTATGATGTGGAACTGTACCCTGGATGTTGTGTACACAGGACATAGGGTGAGGGTTTGCCAGAATACCAACTAGCAGGCCAGGGAGAGAGGATGGGCAGCTGAGGGATAAGTGCCAGGGTATATAATCTACTCTTGCTCCTCTCCTCAATAAGCCACCTTGACTATGGTCAATGATAGTTATCTGGCTTGAGTGAGGCATGATTCATATATAATGCCCATTTTATGTGTCCAGACAGGAATTTTAGTGAACACATATATCTATGTCACCCTACACTGCCATCAAGATCTAGAATAATGTATGACTCAGAAAACTCCTGGTGCCTCTGGAGTTTCCAGTCAGGTTTTCTTCATCTGTTTTTGGGCAACTCCTTCATTTCCTGGCCTTCCCACAGTGAGAGTCATGTATCTGTCTCTTTGGCTCATTGGTCTGAATTTTCCACCTACTGCTTCCTTACCCTTTTCCCTAGACTGAGAGGACTCTCAGGGAAGTGCTGGCCTGGGCTGTTAACACAGGGTCCCAGGAGTGGAAAGAATGGAGGGGTGCTCTTCGTATGATAGCTGGCTTTGTCCTCTCAGTCACACCTGTGTGCCTGAAAACGGTCCAACATAAGTGACTTCTTGGGGAAGGTGGCAGACTTTATCACAAACACTGAAAGAACAAGTCCTTGAAGGGTACCCAGAGGGACTGTCCCCAGAGGTGGAGGTAATGGTCAGCCAGTGGGAGCCTCAGCCTGGGACTTGGGGTTGGGCTATTAGTTGGGCTAGATCAGCAGGAGTCAGCATTAGGACAGTATTTCTAAGGAGTAACTAAGTTCAAGATTAGGATAGGGGATCACTGATGCCAGATATATGGCTGATATCTAACTTCACTATGAATCGGCAACCCCAAAATGTCCCCAATGGCCCGCTAGTAAAACAGCTGTCACAGGGCTGTATTTGCAGCTCTGTGACATCAGGGAGGTCTTGAAATTTCATGTGATGTTATCTTGGTTAAGTAGGAAGGAAAGGGAGAAACTCAAAGCCAGGCAGCAAGGGCTGCTCATGGCCTGATGAAGCTTCTGAGCACAATAGCTGTCTCTGAAGCAGGAATTGGTTTTCATCTGTGGCTCTCCACCTTCTCTGAGAACTCAGTTGAGGCTCTAGTCTTAGGAGAGTGTGTTTGCAATAGTAAGATGAGGAAAGCTGAATTCTTTTGTTGTTGGTGGTGGTGGAAGTTGTGGGGCTTGAACTCTGGGCTTGGGCGCTGACCCTGTGCTCCTCAGCTCAAGGCGAGCACTCTACCACTTGACAGCACCACTTTTCTGGTGGTTAATTTTTAATTTTAATTTTAAAATTTTCTGGTTTTCTGGTGGTTAATTGGAGATAAGAATCTCATGGACTTTCCTTCCCTAGCTGGCTTCGAACTGGAATCCTCAGATCTCAGTCTCCTGCGTAGCTAGGATTACAGGCTTGAGCCCTGGCACCTAGCTCCTGAGTTCTTTTGTCACTAGGAAAGAGGTGGTAGTCAAGCTGGAGTTTTGTGCATGCTCAGAAGAGAGGCCTAAATGCTGATACATGCTAGTGTGGATGATGACACCACTCATCATCATCATCCTGTTAGGCCTCTGGCATGGGCTGCTTTGGATACTCAGGTATCCTGAGAAGGTGACCTTATGATCTCCAAGGAGCAGGTACCAGTGTGGAGTACTCCCAGGGGCTCTAAGAGCCATCTCTAGTGTTTTATGACAAGATGACAAGACATGGAAGTTCAGGGTTAGGATGGACATTGGCTCCATTTGTTTGGATGGACCTGGAGCCATTTTTCTAGATCCTCTGCATGAAAATCAGCAGGAGAGATGGCTGTTTGCAAGTGGCAGGTTCAAAGTCAGAACTAGAGCTGCCAGTGGTGAGCTGGCTGCAGTGGGGGTGGCTCAGCATAGCTAAAAGTCATGCTTGATTTTTGGAGATACCCAGTGACAAATGGTAGACCCAGGACTAACCCACAGGGCCTCTCTTAGGCAGCACTATTGAGTGTACCTGCTTAGGACTAAGCTTTCCCTGTGACAGAGGAAGAATGTGGGAACACTGTTCCCTCAGTCTGCACGTGTTACTGCTGATCCCTTTACCAGAGTTAGCTAATTAAGAAATTAGGTTAAAGGTTGACAGAAATCATAATAGTAAGTGGAGGTTAAGTAATACCATAAGAAATGACCAAACATGTTAAAACACTGATAGCCAGGTACTGGTGACTCATGCCTATAATCCTAGCTACTCAGGAGGTTCAAAGCCAGGTTGGGCAAGAAAGTCTGCAAGACTCTTATCTCTAAGCTTTCTAAAACAACCTGAAGTTGAGCTGTGGCTCAAGTGGTAGAGTACTAGTCTTGAGGAAAAACAATCTCAGAAACAGTGCCCAGGTCCTGAGTTCAAGTGCTAGGACTGGCACAAAACAAAACAAAAAATCACATATCTTGTCAAGAGGCAATATCAAGATGGTCAAGAATTGAGACTCTGCCAGGAACAGGTGGCTCACGCCTATAATCCTAGCTACTCAGGAGGCTGAGATCTGAGGATCTTGGTCCAAAGCCAGCTCCCGCAGGAAAGTCTGTGAGACTCATCTCTAATTAACCACCAGAAAAAACTGGAAGTAGCACTGTGGCTCAAGTGGTAGTGTGCTCGCTGTGAGCTGAAGAGCTCAGGGACAGCGCCCAGGCACAGAGATCAAGCCCCACAACTGACCAAAAAAAAAAAAAAAAAAAAAAAGGAGTTGAGATTCTGAGCATTCAGTTCCAAACCATGAAAACTTAGCTTCTCTGCTAGCCCCTGAAGTGGCTTATAGACCATGTGCCAGCTTTCAGTACAATTTTTACAGGGTGGATGCCATATTATCTTAACGAAACACATCCTCTTGGGAAACCTGGTGGCAGCCCCTCGTAGGAAGAGGAGCACTTGCATAGTGCCTGTTTGATACCTTCTTTCCCTTCCCTTCCCTTCCCTTCCCTTCCCTTCCCTTCCCTTCCCTTCCCTTCCCTTCCCTTCCCTTCCCTTCCCTTCCCTTCCCATTTTTTTTCTTTTTTTGAGCCAGTCTTGGAGTTTGAACTTAAGGCCTAACATTCTACTTCTTGAACCACAGCTCACTCTGACCCTCTGTGTGTGTGTGTGCGCGTGCGCGTGCACGTACATGTGCATGTGGTTAATTGGAGATAAGAAAATCACAGACTTTCCTGCCTGCTTAGCTTCAAATCAAGATCCTCAGATCTCAGCCTCCTGAGTAGCTAGGCTTACAGCCACTGGCCCTTGTGATATCTATCATCTATTTTGCAGGGAGGAAAATACTGTTGCAAGTTTCTGTTTAGGGTCCAGCAGCCCTCTTTGCCTTGATTACAAGGTTCAACTTATTTTCACAGTGTATTCAGTAGCATAGAGGCACTTACTGAAGCATCATAGCTACATGGAGGGCCTTCCAAGGACATTGTGGCAGGTTGGGAAGCATGGTGGTCCATCCATCTTCTTAAGCATTTCAGATGCTCTGGAACAGCAGGATGGCTTGGTGGGATTGAGCAACCTCCCTGGCAGATCACTCCCTAGTTCCAGGTCCTTTCCAAGCCACAGGCTG